TGTATTCTATTGTTTGGTTCGCGAAAGGAATAGCCTTTAGGAATTATATTATAGTGTTTGGTTGATTTAAGGAATAGAAATGAAATATGTTTTAAAAGACATAAATACCTTTATAAAAATATGTGATGGTGGCGGTGGTGGTGGTGGTGGTGGTGGTGGTGGCGATGGTGGTGGCGGTGGTGGCGGTGGTGGTGGTGGCGGTGGTGGTGGTGCTGCTGGGGTGGTAGTGGTGGTGGTGGCGGTGGCAGTGGTGGGGGCGACGGTGGTGGTGGTGACGGTAACGGTTGACGGTGACGGTTGTGGCAGTGGTGGTGGGGGCGGCGACGGTTGTGGCGGTGGCGGTGGTGCTGCTGGGTGGTGGTACTAGTGGTTCTGGTGGCGGTGGCGGTGGTGGTGGCGGCGGCGGCGATGGTGATGGTGGTGGCGGCGGCGATGATGGTGGTGGTGGCGATGATGGTGTGGTGGTGGCGGCGATGGTGGTGGTGGCGGCGGCGACAATGGTGGTGGTGGCGGCGGCGGCGATGGTGGTGGTGGCAGCGGCGATGGTGATGGTGGTGGTGGCGACGACGGTGGTGAAATTGGATAAATTTATATATAGGATAAACAAATTAGGTTAAAGAAAGGGGTAAAAAAGGAAATAGATTTTAAAATCTATTCCTAAGCGTTCAATAATAGGCTAATACCAGGGGGACCCTAGTATTAGCTATTACCTTATTTGAGGTAATAGGTTATTACCAGGAATATTATTCCTGGTAATATAAATGGTTACCAAACAAAGGAATAAGCCTATTACTGGGAATTCTATGCCATTCCCGGCCTATTCCGTGAACCAAACGGGCCATTAGAGTTTAATTAGAAACTCTAATAAGAACTAAAAACCGAGATGTACATTTGTATTACTCCCTAACAACTAGTTAAATGTAACGTGTTGTCGAACTAAATAAATGTCTAATATGAAAAAGAAATTGTACATAATTACATTATAAAATTAAATAGAAAGTTACTATATAGTTTCATGTACAACTGGTCATTAAATTATTAATTTGTTTAGAATTTTATATTTATACTAGTTTTACACGCGCATTGCACGAATGAATTAATGTCAAATATTTATAATTAAGTATTTAAAAGTATTTCAATGCAAGATTATATATGAAAAGTTCATACATAATTGGGATCTTAAAATATATCAATGCAAGATTATATATGAGAAATTCATACATGACTGGAATCTTAATGTAAGAAGCTGTGAATTTTCGTTGTTGTATATATATGACTTAATTTGACTGTGAAGCCGTTTCGACTTCTTAAATGACAAGAGCCAGTTTAGCTGACTCACTGCTTACTCATCAACGGATGGGCAAGCTTAATGTTAGAATTGGAGCTATAGGAGGCTCAAGACTCCCATGCCACTTTTCCCCACCGATGTAGGAAAGATCAGTGGGAAAAGTGGCATAACTAAAGGGATTCGAAGTTCGGCTCCCCATATGTTTTTATTTTATTTTATTTTATTCGTTAAATTATTATTGTTATTGTTATTATTATTATTATTATTATTATTATTATTATTATTATTATTATTATTATTGTTGTTGTTGTTGTTGTTGTTGTTGTTGTTGTTGTTGTTGTTGTTGTTGTTGTTGTTGTTGTTGTTGTTGTTGTTGTTGTTGTTGTTGTTGTTGTTGTTGTTGTTATTATTATTATTATTATTATTATTATTATTATTATTATTAGGTCGTTTCACATGTTAATCTATTACCCACCGCTGATATAATTCGCTGGTCAAACCTGCTAATATAATTCGCTATTTGCTAACTGCTAACACAATCCGCTAACCGCTGATTGCCAAACAAGGACATTGCGAGGTAGTTTCTCACTTCAATTTGTTGTGTGATTTGAATACTCTTTGTCAACAAATTCCCCAAGTATTTAATATGATTGGCTTTTTCCTTACACCGCCACCGACGCCGCTGCCTCAACTGCCGACAGTCTCACGGCAGCGAGCGAACTCGTCGCTCGGCAGGTAGCTTGGAGGAGATAAGACAAGGCTATCTTGTCCCTCTTAATTTCGTCTCTTTCGGAGGAGACGATGCGGTTCGCCGTTGGTCGGTCTACTTCCCGGCAACTCTGGCTCACCATCAAACAATCTCTCGCCTCTTCCTCGCGTTCTCGGGCATTGCGGTTATTCGGTGAATTGCAAGCCCTTCGGCAAGGTGATTCTTCCATCGCAGATTATATTGGTCGTGCACAGTTGTTGGTTGATGATTTGGCTCTTGCCAGTCGTGATGTTACATTAGACGACCAAAACCTATACGTCTTCCGTGGCTTGCGATATGAGTTTCGTCCGCTTGTAGCAACCCTAGCTCGGGGTGCTGCAGGTTCCGCTTGCAGAGGTGGCGGATTTCTTTGTGTCACAAGAGTGGATTTGCGCTGCTGATGGAAACGGCGGGGTACCGCCGGTTGCAATGGTCGGTGGCCGAGGCGGTACGGCCCCTAGCCACGGTGGCTGTGGCAACGCGACACAGCAGCACGATCGCGGTCGAGGATCGGGCGGCGGCAGACGCGGTCGCGAGCGCGGGCATGGCGCGGGCACAGGTCCTCGGTTCCAAATATGCAACAAACAAAGACACGGGGCTCTCTCGTGTTGGCATCGCTACTCCACCTCCCCGGCTCCTCAGGCGAATGTGGCAGTCTCTGGTGAGAATGGTGATTACACAGGTCCACATGAGTGGTTCCCAGACATTGGTGCTACGAATCATGCTACACCTGATTCGTCCTTGATGACTTCCGCAACAAGTTATGATGGCCCGGAAACTTTGCGAGTCTGCAGTGGTACATGTTTGCATATTGTTAATGTTGGTTCTGCTTCGTTAGCCACTAATTCTAGATCATTTACATTGCGTGATGTTTTGCATGTCCCTGGTCTCTCTACTTCATTATTATCTATTCAGCGTTTTGCCAAAGATAATAATGATTTCTTTGAGTTTCACCCTCTTTGTTTCTTTGTGAAGGACACTTTGACCAAGAAAGTCCTTTTTAAAGGGCATGCGTCCGGAGGTCTCTATTCCTGGCCTGCGTCTTCTCCTGCTCCAGCTGCTTTTGTTGCTGCGCGCTCGTCCTTCGTTTGGCATATGCGGTTGGGGCATCCGCACTCTCGAGTCTTACGCAAAATTTTAGAGTCTTCGTCTGTTAGTACATTTAATTCGAAAGATCTTCCCAATGTTTGTTCCTCTTGTCAATTGGGATAGTGATCTCGTTTTCCATTATCTCGTGTTGAAACTACCAGTACACAACCTTTAGAATTAATATATTCTGATATTTAGGGCCCTGCGCCGTTACTTTCTACGAATGGGTTTAAATATTTTGTGTTGTTTGTGGATGATTACACACGATATATATGGTATTATCCGATGCGTGCCAAATCTGAATTATATGGCATATTTGATAAGTTTGGATACTTGTTGAACGTTCTTTTTCTCGCAAGATTATTTCTTTTCAATCTGATTTATGGGGAGAATATAAGAAGCTTGGTTCCACCCTTTCTTCTCTAGGTATTCGTCACAGGCGGTCTTGTGCATATACTCATGAACAGAATGGATAGGTGGAGCGCAGGCATCGTCATGTTGTTGAGACAGGACTGTCCTTAATGGCTCAAGCATCTGTTCCTTCTGGTTTCTGGGACTATGCTTTTTAGACTGCTGTCTATCTTTGAGACTGCTGTCTATCTTATAAATAAAATTCCCACTCGTGATTTGTCTGATGAGTCACCACACTTTCGTTTGCATCGTTAGTTCTCCCCCATCCTACTCTTACTTGCGGGTATTTGGTTGTTTGTGCTTTCCTGTTTTGCGTCCATATAATCGAAATAAGCTACAATTTCGTTCATCTCCGTGTGTCTTTCTGGGTTACCCCCCGTCTTATCGTGGCTATCGTTGTTTAGATACTAACACTAACAAGGTCTTTATCTGTCGCCACGTGCAATTCGTTGTGTTTCCTTTTATTTCTCCTATTGCCTCACAGGTTCCTAAGCCACGGTCCAAACCGTGGGCCACCGCACTAGTTGTGACGAGCCGAGGGAATGATGTCTCGGCCACTCTTGTTGATGGCACTCGGCAGGTTGATGAGCCCGTGTTGGCTCTTGGCCATTATGACGGTGCTGGTTACGAGCAGTCCGCATCGAGAGAGCGAACCGTCTCGTAGCTCGGGTCCGCATCAACATGTTGCCTTAACCACTACTTCCACCATGGTGTCTGAGCCTACCTGTTACTCTCAGGCGGTCAAGTTTCCTGAGTGGCGTGATGCAATGGACGCAGAGTTCAATGCCTTGGATCATAATCATACATGGCGTCTTGTTCCTTCTCAACCAGGTATGAATGTTGTTGGTTGCAAGTGGATTTTTAGAACCAAACGGAAGGCCGACGGTTCAATAGAACGTCATAAAGCACGATTGGTGGCCAAGAGTTTTAATCAGGTTGCTGGAGAGTACTTTTTTGAGACATTTAGTCTTATGGTTAAACACACTACGGTACGTCTTCTCTTATCTTTAGCCGTATCGCGTGGGTGGTCTATTCGCCAGTTGGATATTCACAATGCCTTTTTGAATGAAGAGCTAGCTGAGACCGTTTACATGCGCCAGCAACCTGGTTATGAGGATCAGTCATTACCTGATCATGTGTGTTTGCTTAAAAAATCTCTCTACGGTCTCAAACAAGCTCCGCGTGCATGGTTCACAAGGTTACATGATTTTCTAGTCTCTGTGGGCTTTGCGCCCTCAAAGACTGATGTGTCTCTTTTAATCTATTCTCGTGATTATGTTCATCTTTATTTCTTGGTGTATGTTGATGACATTTTGATTATGGGGTCTGAGTCAGACCTGTTACTGCTCTATTGATAAATTGGCACTTGAGTTTAAAGTTCGTGATATGGGTGTGCCTTCTTTCTTTTTGGGAATTGAAAATGTCCCGTTATCTGGTGGTATGCTTTTATCTCAACAACGATACATGAAGGATATTCTCAAACGTGCTAGCATGGTGGATTGTAAGCCAGTGGTCACGCATGTCTCTATCGCGAAAACCGCCGACGATGTTGCCACTCCCTATGCCGATCCAACACAATACAGAAGTCTTGCTGATGCTCTCCAATATCTTACGGTAACTCGTCCTGATCTGTCTTATGCTGTTAACCTATTGTGTCAACATATGCATGCTCCTACTACTACGGACTGGGCCTCTCTTAAAAGAGTCCTACGATATATCAAAGGCACCCTGCATTTTGGTCTGCGTATTTCTCGGTCTGCATCGTTGGATATTCACGCCTATTCTGACTCAAACTGGGCTGGCGGTCTGAATGATCGCAAGTCTACTAGTGGTTTTGCTGTGTTCTTGGGGAGTAATCTTATATCTTGGGTCTGTCGAAAGCAACGGACAGTGGCACGTTCTTCAACTGAAGCAGAATACAAAGGTCTGGTTGATGTATCTCCTGAGGTTACATGGTTTGTTTCTCTGCTACACGAGATCGGCATCCCACCTGCGTCTCCTCCTCGACTATGGTGTGATAATTTGGGAGCTACTTACCTATGTGCCAATCCAGTGTTTCATGCCCACACGAAGCACGTTGGGATTGATTATCATTTTGTTCGCGATAAAGTAGCCAAAAAGGAGTTGGAGGTGCACTTCATTTCAACTAAGGATCAACTAGCAGATATCTTCACCAAGTCTCTTTCATCTATCCGTTTTAATTCTCTACGTGACAAGCTCAACGTTTTGGCTAGCCAACCTTGTGTTTGAGGGGGAGTATTAGGACTATGTTATCCATATTAGACTAGTACTATATTATTCGTGTTAGACTAGGATTCTATCTAGTACCTATATATTTGCTCTCTGTACTCTCAGACATTACGATTGAATACAACACAATTATATTCTCATCGTTCAAACCTAAGGCATTTCTTATTGAAATCATATAATTAAGGATAAATTCATTTGCTTTAATAATTTGACGGTCATTTTTTTTTACCCATTATAGGTCTAAATTCTTTTGGCTCAGGTTATCTTTATCGCTGTAATTTTCTCTCATTTGCTAAAATGGGTCCCACTCACGCATCATCATATTTACAAATTCTCCACTATTTATTCTACATCCTTGCAAATCTCTTTTACCCTTTTAAAAATGGGTCTCACTTTAATATTATATTATAAATATAATACTAAAATAATAATAAACGAAATTTTAAAGAATTTAAAAAAAAATAAAAAGTACGCTGCCTGGCAGCTTTTGCTGCAACAAGCAACTTGGCTTGCAAATTTGCAAGCCACATGGCAATAAAAAAAAAATTGAAAACAACATTTGCATTTTTCATGTTTGCAGGGATAATCTTAGCCTTATTAGTATAGTAGATATGTATCATATTTTATTCTAACAAAATATTTGTATAATATATTAAGTAATTGAAATTCTCATCAATCAACAGTAAAAAATTTAAACTAATTTAAGATTTGAATTACAAGTTTTATATATACCAGCACTATAAGAATTATTCAGTTAAAAATAAAATTAGAAAATTGTTGTGAATTAGGATGTATCCTCAACTCGTGTGAATCTTGTGTGATCGTACGCTATGATCATATAGAGAAAAAAAGGAGAAGAAGATCAAGTTGATCTCAAGAACTCCAGAACCACATTCTGATTAGATAACAGCAAATATATACATATACAACATGGGGTAAATAAATAGAATACGTGATCCAAGAAAATAGGATAATGGCCATAAAATATATATTTACAACACTCCATATTGGCCATTATCTTACTACACTCATGCCTCGTTAAAACCTCACTAGAAAATGAAAACATTGTAGGAAAAACCTAGTCGAGGAAAACACTACATGATGTATGTCAAATTATATGTTGCACGGTTTGCCTTATTGAAAACCTTAGGCTAAGAAAATCTAGTGAGAAAAAACTTAGCTAAGGGAAAACGAGTTCAACTATAAACCAACCATAAAACTTCAAGGCATAATCTTCAGGATTTTGGGGTTTGTCTATTTAAGTATTTATTTGTAACTTTTCCCTTGTTACATTACTATACCATACTCATGCCTCGTTAAAAAAACCTCACTAGAAAAATTCAGTGGAAAAAAACTAGTTGATGAAAAGAGTACATGAGATATGTATATTCATGTGTTGCACTAACTGCCTCATTAAAAAACCTTTAATTATGAAAATTATATCAACACTCAATCAAAGAAACTAAGAGTACAGTTGTTGGTCTTCAAGACCCAATCTTCAAAATTGATTCAAGTAAATGTCACTCCCCATAAAGATAACAATCTTCAAAGTCTACACGTTATAATATGAAAACATTTTTCAAAAATAAGTGTAAGAAAAGATATGGTACAATCCTTAATTAAGATTGTCACTAGAGTGAACATTTTGTATAATAATCTCGTGACTCTTCTAGAGCTCACGTAGGTCGAATTTTGACGTTATATTTGCTTTGTCAAAAAATTCCTTAACATACACATTTTTCATTTGTGCAACACAAGCTTTATTATCCTCATATACTGTAACACCCCCTAAACTAAAATGCAAACTAAGGCAAAAACATCTAAATAAAACTTAAGCTATAATTAAAACGCTGCGGAAGCAAACCAAATTCAACGGGGGTGTTATGCCACATTTAGGCCATAATAAACCTAAACGCACAGGCTACAAAGGTTTTCTACTCAAATCCAAATTACAAGGTACGATACAACTAACTATAGAACAATTTAGGTTCTACTCAATCAACTATATCATCCATACTAGACAACGCGCACTCGGGAAACATCTCTAAGCCAACCTGAAAACATTTTAGAAAAATTAGCAAATAATACTAAGTAAATCCACTATAACATGTAAAGCTATGTACATATACTTTTATATTCAAATAGGTTTTGCAACGGTATGACTATATATATATATATATATATATATATATATATATATATATATATATATATATATATATATATATATATCTACTATACTAATAATAGCCCAAGAGAGTTAGGCCTATAATGGGTAGAAAAAATGGCGGTCACAGATTTTAATCAAATGAATGGCTCAGATTGATTAAAAGATTGATCAGATTTAAATTTTACACTAAAATTTCCTAAAATACCCACACATCGTTACTAATTTCGTTAAAATTTTAAGAATTGTCGTTAGTTCACCGTTAACTTACTCATTGATTTCAATAAAAAAAAAAAAAAAAAGTCTTAGGTTCAAACCCCATCCCAATCAAAGTTGGAATAATTAGTACTCTATTTTACTCTTATTAAATTATATAAATAATAATTTAGTAGTTACAACAAAAAATAATACATATGCATTTCTTTAATTTAGAATTATGTGTCCACAATGCCTTTATTCAAAAAAAAAATATTCATTATCAATAAATTAAATAAGAGAAATAATTTTATTAGTTATATTGTCTTTATTTTTCTTCAATATAAAAATTCTTTATATTCAAATTTATTAATTGATTATATTCGCTACATTGTCCTTACAATGTCTTTATTCAGTGAAAAAAAATTATTAATTATCAATAAATTAATTAAAAGAAATATTTTCATTAGTTATATTGTCTTTTTTTTGAATGCCATTAGTTATATTGTCTTAATTTTTCTCAAATGTAAAAATTTTTACATTCAAATTCATCAATTGATTATATTCACTACATTATCTATTATCTTTTTTGTGCACTATTTTTCTAATTAAATATCAAAGTTATAATACAAAATAATGCTATATATTTATTTACCAAGTATTTTATTAATACCATGAAAAAATTAAAAAAAAAATATAATTAATAAAGCCAACCATATTAACTACTTGAAAGATTTTGTGACAAAGAGAGTATTCAAATCACACAACAAATTAAAGTGAGAACTACCTCGCAATGTCCTTGTTTGACAATCAGCAGTTAACGGTTAGCGTTAGCGGATTTGATCAGCGAATTTATTTAATTATTAACATTGGGTAGAAAAAATGACCGGCCAAATTATTAAATCAAATGAATGGTTCATATTGTTCAGGTTTTAATTTTTTTCTTTTAAGATTTTTAAATTTATCCTTAATTATATGATTATCCATTTAACTTTTCCGTTAATTCATCGTTAGTCTAATTCTAATATTAAAGTCTAATATAGAATTATAACTACACTATTAATCTAATTCTAATATTAAAGTATTAATAGAACTTAACCACAAATCCTAATGTCGGAATCTCCTCAAACAATATTAGTATATATTTAATATTTTATGCCCTAATTTTTATTTGTTCTCCCTTATGTCCCGTATTTGGTTTCAACTATACCTATACAATTATTTTATTGACAATTATAATCAATCTTGACTATATTATCTTGCATTTGTAAACTTAGAATTACCTATTCAACTCGCACGAGCTTAGCTCAATGGTTTAGTGGGTAGTATTTGGGAGAAGAGACCAAGGTTTGAACCTCAGCGACGGCAGTGCGGGAATTATGTCCAAAGTGGGCAGATTCCTTGTGCGTATCAGCATTTGGCCCTGTCTGTTGAACCATTGAGTCACCGTGTGATTTACAACTTCCCACAATGCTCTGTCGGGTCGGAGTGTGGGGGGCCCTTGGGGTTGGGGACTCAACCTTTGGGAGAATAATTACCTATTTAAATACGCAAATTCAACCTTCAATTATCTATGCATGAACAATTTCAATATAATCCTGCCTTAATATACTTTAAAGTACTTATTTAACAAAAAAGCATTGGGCATTATCCTATGCGCGTAAAAAACTAGTATATATATATATATATATATATATATATATATATATATATATATATATATATATATATATATATATATCATACCAACGAACTCAGCTGAAGAATTCCCAAGATAGATACTCAATCAATAAAGCTCAATTTTAGGGGCACTAGGCTCATTTCAAGAAAGATAAAGGAGACAAGCTCATATCAACATAGATTCAAGAGATCAATACTAAAGCATAAACAAGATAGAATTCCAAGATTTCTCACATCAACAAGTTACAGTGGTATATAAATACATAGCCAATGAATTATATATCAAATAGCCAAATAGTAATACAATATCCAACCTTTACACCAGTCCATCCGAAACACCAATCCAACCTTATCCACCAAAGTGGAGCCAAAGCTCTCGCCACCGATACAAATGGAGCCGATGTAACAACTCGAAAATTTTTCTTCCAAATTAAGCCTATTTTATAAAGAGTTAATTCCAGCAATGGTCTTCCAACTATTGCGATTTTCCAAAATTGGTCATCGACTTTAAATTTGGACAAAAAAGACACTTGACTTTCCGATTTATTCTAACAATGGTCCTTCCGTCAAACATTAGTTAAGGTGCCGTTAAGTAGAGGGGTAGTGTAGTCATTTCCTTAATTTTTTTCTTCTTACTCTTGCCAGGGGCACTTCACCCGTGTCCCCATCATCTTCCTTTGTTTCCTCTTCCCCTTCTTGTTCCATATCATCCGAGGATGTTCCGGCCAGGATCAACCGATGTTTGGAGGAAGGGGCGGAGGAGTTCTTCTTGAAGCCGGTGCGACAGGCGGACGTGAACCGCCTCAGCTCCCATTTGCTCAGACCCAAATACCATAAGCTTTGCCCAGCCAAAGAAGGAAGGCGGCGGCGGCGGCGGTGGCGGAAGCGGAGGAGTTCTATGTCTCTGCGCAACCAGATCTAATTAAAAGGCATGAATATGTGACTCATACAAATGCAATTTATAAGACATATTTTCATATCTAATTCATCATTATTAATTTTAACTAGTCAAAAAACTAGTATAAATGTCTATGAAAAAAAACCTTGCTGAGTGGCTGACCGGGTGGGAGTCTGAGAGAGGGGCTGCGGCGCGGCAGTCTATGGAGCTCTGGTTGCTGGTTCACGGTGGACGGAGGCGGTGGTCTGGTACGCTGGGACACTGCGGTCACTGGTTCACTTCAGTCAGCAGCGGCAATGGCCTCTGGTTCGCGGTGGCCTGTACGACTGTGCCCTGCAGGCAATGAACGGAGGATTGGGAAGAAACCAAGAAGGAAATTATACACACTCTTCCTTCCTGCTGGAGTTCTAGGTCATCAATTCAACCTAAGAATCTTCATTGCTGTCAATGGCTTCTGCCTCCTGGGAAGACAGTTTCTGCTAGACAACAAAGATGAGGACTCAATTCAACCTAAGAATCTTAGCAAATTTACTTAACAGAGGTAAACCCACATAAGCCAAGGACATAATGCTTACATTTGAACTGAATGGTTCTAGCTTGTTCAACTTGGCAAACATGTTTCCGTAGAATTTGGCATCCTTCTTATTGTATTCTTTTACCTTTTCTTTGAAAACCTTATATTCAAGTTTCACCTTCCTTTACCAAACGGGAAAAATAATCAGATTCATATCATGGCTAACAGAGTAGTAAGAGGGGGAAACAATTATACAATACCTGTTGTCAGGATCAATTTCAAGAGCTTTCTTGATATCAAACTCAGCCAGATAAAAATCAGCCATGTGCATATATTCTTGAGCTCTTCTGTAGATTGCTTTAACATTAGTACTCTCTACTCTCTAGTTCAAGGACCTGCATAGCACATTCCCTAAAATTTATTACCTGACTAACATAGACTTTTTGAAACTTACAAATAGCTTGTACTGGTTTAGTTAGTAAATGAATACATTATATGACCACAAAAAGGGTCGAGAAAGAAGATGTATGGAGTGGGTGGAGTGGGGGTAAAGAGGAAGAAGAAAGAAATTAAGGAAATGATTACATTACCCCTCTACTGAACAGCACTTTAACTGATGTTTGACGAAAGGACCATTGTTGGAATAAATCTGAAAAGTCAAGTATCTTTTTTGTCCAAATTAAAAGTCGATGACCAATTTTGAAAAATCGCAATAGTTGGAGGACCATTGCTGGAATTAACTCTTTTATAAATAACTAGTCAAAATCTCTTCCCAATATTTTGTTCCTAAGTTGACTAGTACCTTTTATAAATAAAGTATTTATTCAAAAACCCTTATGGTGAATAAATAAGTCTATACATATACCTTAGTTTCCAAAACTCAATTTGAGAAAAATATTCTTTCATTCAAAAGTCAACCCAAAAGTCAATCTAAGAGAAACTTGTGAACATGATAGCCAAGTTTTCTTTCAAAATTGGATCTCAAAATAAACCTATCCTATTTCTATATTTACTATATTGTATTGTAATCCTAATTTGACCCAACTTTTGGCCCAAAATTATAACTCAAAGCTCAAAACCCAATTTCCCCAAATACCCTCCACTTTGGCGTGAATGTGGCTGATTCATGACCTAGGGCTTTATGCCCTAGGTATATCTATAAACTTACTATTTTATTGGTTGCCTTCAATCCCTCATCACTCCACACTTCACTCATTTCCATTCCATCTCCTGAGAACTAAGAAAGCAAGGAGGCAACAATAGTGAGGTGGAGGAAACAATCAATGTTGAGGTCTAGGGAGGGATCCTAGCTTTTGGAAGCTTCAAGCTTGAGATATAACCCATGGACATTCAAACCATATTATATTCCTGCATTAATATGAAAAATGTGTATGTGTTGTTGTTGACGATGCGTGAGCTTTGGAAATGATATTAATCTTGTGTTTGATGTGTGGAATGTGTTGAATAATGTTGTATTGTGGATAGTATGCTATGAAATGGTGTTTGGGGTATTGCATCAGGTCTGGATGTGGGCAAAATGCCCAAAGGAAGAAGGAAACAGAGATAGACGAGGCTACTGCCTCGCCCCTCCTCAAAGGCATGCAGGCTCTACCGTGAGTCCCGGGAGACCCGCCGGCAGGGCTGCGTGCCCGATGGCACGTTGGGTGGCAGGCCCCTTGCGGCCTGCCACTTCGCCCAAGTCGTGCGGTTGGCGCGGCGGGTCTCGCATAACCCGTCGCCCAGCCCGCACGGCTTAGGAGCCCCTGCGGCAGTGTACACTGCCGCGGGTCCGGCCATTTGGGTTTTGCGGGTTTTCATAATCCGTGGGACTCGGGGAGTTGTTCTAAAGTAATATGTGTTGCGTGATACTTGACCAAAAATAATTTTACCAAAAAAAGAGTGATGTATCGATTTATTTGTTGTTTGAACCAACCTTGATGTTGATGGATGTGACCCAAGATTGTATTAAGTGTTGAATAGTATGAAGTAAGTTGTATCTTTGTGTTATGTACGCAAAAATACATGAAGAAGGAGAAAAAAAATATTAATGGTGTATATTAACTTGCAGTGTAGTAAGGATTACATGGCATATATACAACTACATTCTAACGGTAAAAAATAATAGAAAAGATAGAAATGCATGTTATTAGGCTATTTACCTAAAAAGCTACATTAATAATATGGAAATAATATAACTAAATATATACATAATTAATATAGCAAATATTCTTCTACACTCCCCCTCAAGCTCAAGGGTGGTACATGAGCTTGGAAGTGATGGCATCGAACGGTTGAGGAAAGAGGCTCTTCGTAAATATGTCGGCTAGTTGTTGATTAGATGGAACGAAAGTAGTGCGTAGTGTGCCGTCATTAATTTTCTCTCGTACGAAATGACAGTCGATTTCCACATGTTTAGTCCTTTCATGAAAGACTGGGTTATTGGCAATGTGGAGAGACGCTTGATTGTCACAATGCAATTGTGCAGGATGAACTGGTATATCTAATTTTGATAGGAGTAATTGAAGCCAAGTGATTTCACTAGCTGCATAGGCCATGACACGATATTCAGATTCAGCAGAGGATCGTGATACTGTTGTTTGCTTCTTTGTTCGCCAAGATAGGGGACTTGTTCCTAGAAAAGTGCAGTATCCCGTAGTTGAGCGTCGTGTGGTTGGACATGAAGCCCAATCAGCATCACAATAGGCATGTAACTTTAAAGAACTATGTGTAGATAAAAGAATGCCAAGATCTGGTGAATTTTTGAGATAACGTACGACCCTAAGCGCGGCTTGCCAATGCATGTCACGGGGTGCAGACATGAATTGCGAAAGGAGATTAACTGCATAAGTGATGTCTGGCCGAGTGACTATGAGGTATAGCAGGCGACCAACGAGTCGTCTATATGCGGAAGGGTCTGCAAGAAGTTCGCCTGTGTTAGGAGTGAGTTGGTGACTAACCTCTATAGGAGTTGAGGCGGGTTTACAAGCCAACATTCCTGTATCTGAGAGAATTTCAAGGGCATATTTCCTTTGATTTAAAAAAATTCCAGCAGAGGAACGTGCAACTTCTATCCCAAGGAAATACTTCAATGATCCCAAGTCCTTTAGTTGAAATTGATGCGCTAGGTACTGCTTGAGGATAGTAATGATGGTTGGATCATTACCTGTGATAACAATATCATCAACATAAACAAGCAAAATAGTTAGAAATTTTTCACGTTTGTAAGTGAACATGGAATAATCTGCTTTAGATTGTACAAAACCAGCGTTGGTGAGGGATGTGGAAAAAGTCGTGAACCATGACCGTGATGCTTGTTTGAGCCCATAAAGAGATTTGTGGAGACGACAAACCCGATTCTCCCCCTTTCGCCTAAAACCTGGAGGGACTTGCATATAGACTTCTTCATGAAGTGTTCCGTGAAGGAAATCATTAGAGACGTCAAGTTGATGAGTAGCCCATCCTCGTACGGCTGCGATGCTAAGAACTGTACGGACTGTGACAAGCTTTGTGACAGGAGCAAAGACATCGGTGAAATCAAATCCTTCTAGTTGAGAGTATCCTTTTGCTACCAATCGGGCTTTGTATCGCTCAACAGAACCATCAGGTTTGTATTTGATACGGTAAACCCATCGACATCCAATAGCGGACTTACCAGGAGGTAGAGTTGTTAATGACCAAGTATTGTTAGCTTCTAGAGCATGTATTTCTTCTTGCATAGCTTTTTTCCACTTAGGGTCGGTTTGTGCAGCAGAGAAAGATGATGGTTCAGATTCTTTGGTGATATTGTTGATAAAGCAAATGTGATTGGGATTGTATGCTTTAGAGTCAAGAAAATGAGAAATGGGATATTGTGGAGTTGTAGACACATTGCATATGTAGCTAGAAAGGTAACTGGGAGGTTTATGTTGCCTTTGAGATCGTCGAAGGGAGTTTGGTGGTGGTGGTGGTGGAGAATTGGAGCACGGTTGTGCATGTATGGGTGAGTTAGTTATGGAATGATTGCTTTCAGGAAAAGGTGTTTCTAGAACAACAGGCATATTTGTGGTTTGTGCTTCAATGGGTGGTATAGGTAGTGGCAATATAGGGTTGAGAGTTGCTTGCGTAGCTAAAGTAGGTTCATATTTAAAAGGAAAAATATTCTCATAAAAAACAACATCTCGACTCACAAAAACTTTATTAGAGTTAAGGTCATATAGCCTATAGGCCTTTTGACCTTGAGGATAACCAATGAAAATGCAACATTTTGCTCTAGGATCAAACTTATTAGGGTGATTTTGTATGGTAGATGCATAACATAGGCAACCAAAAGCACGTAAGGTAGTAAAATCAGGGGAATGTCCAAAAAGGACTTCAAAAGGAGTTTTATTTTGCAAGACTGGGGTAGGGGTACGATTGATAAGATAAGTAGCAGTTAAAACACAATCGCCCCAAAATTTAAGGGGCAGTCTTGCTTGAAAGCTCAGAGCACGTGCCACATTGAGAAGATGGCAGTGCTTGCGTTCAACAACTCCATTTTGTTGGGGTGTGCTAGGACAACTGAATTGTTGCAAAATTCCATATTGAAGTAAGATATTTTGAAAATCAATTTTTGTGAACTCAGAACCATTATCAGAACGGAAAGTTTTAACGAATGTATTAAAATGATTCTTAACATATGCTAAGAAACGAATAAGCAACAAAAAAACATCAGATTTGTATTTCATCATAAAAATCCAAGTAGCTCTAGAATAATCATCAACGATAGTTAAAAAATAATGATGTCCAGTCCGGGTAGGAATAGAATACTTACCCCAAATGTCAGCATGAATTAAATCAAAACAAGCAGTAGTTGAAGTATGACTGATAGGAAAAGATAAGTGTGTTTGTTTGGACATATGACAAATATCACAAGGATCTTTAAAATCAGAACAACCTAGTGTAGAAATTAAATGTTTAAAAACTGAATGAGATGGGTGACCAAAACGAGAATGCCATGTATTAGGAGTGATGGTGGTTAATGCAGTGGATTGCGGTGCATCACTAAAGAAATATAAGTCATTGCGTTCATGGCCCCGACCAATCTCCATCTTCGTTGAAAGGTCCTGAAACACGCAATAATTAGGAAAGAAAATGACAGTGCAATTTGAATCTTTTGCCAATTTTTGCACAGATAGCAAGTTAAATTTAAATGTAGGGACATATAAAACATCAATCAAATTAATATTCGGGGATATACGAGCATGTCCAATACCACATACAGGAATTGCATTACCAGTAGGAACAGATATATTTTTCACAATATTATTATATTTAGGCAACTCAGTAAAAATAGAGAGATTGAAACAAACATGATCAGTAGCACCTGTGTCAATAACCCATTCATTTGAAATATTGAAAATAGAAGTTAAGGCTAGAGACTTACCAACGAGGTTTGCTTTAGGCTCCTTTACCTCTTGTAGCAATCGGATTAATTGTTGAAGTGATTCGGAAGGAATAGGTGAGGTTGACTGGGCCGTCATAGGTTGACTATTAGTATTTTCTTTTTTGTAGAATTTGTGCCCGGGAGGATACCCGTGAAGTTTGTAGCAAACTTGTTGCGTATGACCAAGTGTCCCACAATGAGCACACTGTGGTCGTGCTCGATTGTTACCCGGACGAGATGGGGAGGATGATGCATGCATCCTGTTTGTAGAAGATTGGTTGGCAGCGGCAGTAAATTGAGGCATGGAGGATATATGAGATTGCAACGGGGCTGGTGTATCAATATCAATCCAGGCTGCTTGAAGAGCTGAATGATCCACTGGATGTCCGTAACTTTCGCTCTGTACACGTTGTGATTCATCTTGAAGCAATAATGAGTAAGCATTTTTAACTGTAAGAAGCTTACCATTAAGCAACAGTTGGCTCCGTGGTTGAGCGAAAGTGTCTCGAAGGCCCATGAGAAATTGCATCAGTCGGCGACGCTCCGTTTGTGCAATGTATTCCTTGCGAGCAGAGCATGAACATTTAGGTGGAGGATCCAACAGGTTTAATTCGTCCCAAAGCGCACTCAAATGATTATGATAATCTGCTATGGATGCATCACGCTGGGAAAAGGTTGCTATACGCTTTTCAAGTTCATAGATGCGAGGTCCATTCGCGGTAGAAAATCGTTCTTGTAAATCTATCCAAGAGGAGGCAGCGTCGGTGGCATATAGGACAGTGTTAGCCAGTGATGAGTGTATTGAATTGAGGATCCATGACATCACCATGTTGTTCACCCGATGCCAACGAGCGTGATTGGGATGGACAGCATCTGGCATGGGAAGGGATCCGTCAACAAAACAAAATTTGTTGCGCCCTTTAAGGGCCATTGTCATCGCCCGTGCCCACGGATTGTAGTTATCAATGCCGGTGAGAACATTGCTAACGAGCGTGGTGCCCGTGCCATCAGAAGAGTGGAGATAATATGGATTTTCAGCGTCGAAAGGGACGATGACGGGTTGCTACTGAATGGCAGAACCACTAGTGTTGATGGTAGATTCATCTGTAGGTGTTGTAGCCATCTTTAGAGACTAGAATGAAGTGCCAAAAGAAATCAACAAAGATGAATAAGCTTTGAAAAATAAAAACCTTCTGATACCATGTTATGTACGCAAGAATACATGAAGAAGGAGAAAAAAATATATTAATGGTGTATATTAACTTGCAGTGTAGTAAGGATTACATGGCATATATACAACTGCATTCTAACGGTAAAAAATAATAGAAAAGGTAGAAATGCATGTAATTAGGCTATTTACCTAAAAAGCTACATTAATAATATGGAAATAATATAACTAAATATATACATAATTAATATAGCAAATATTGTTCTACACTTTGTGAGTTGAAGTTACAAGGACCCCTTGAGTATGAGTCATTGCATGTGATCCACATTATTTTGATTAAACTTGTTATCCCATATGCCTATCCCGTATCCCCTATTTCTCAAACTACATTTTGAAATATTATGACACATGTGTGCTATGATGTAATATACTAAAATGTTATGAAATAATGAGACCTGGTGGAACACTCCCGGAAATGTTGTGATGTAATGAGACCCGGTGGAACACTCCCGGAATTATGATGTAATGAGACCCGGTGGAACACTCCCGAAAATGTTGTGATGAAACCCGGTGAAACACTCCCGAAAATGTTATGATGAGATAATTATGATTATATATATATATATATATATATATATATATATATATATATATATATATATATATATATATATATATATATATATATATATATATATATAATCGCACTCAGGTGCGAATGCTTCGCCCAGGCGCGAAATAGGAATGAATTCTGTCCGTCCACGTGTCCAGATCTAATGGATGAGAAACACTGATTTTTTTTAAAAATGCGGTGATATTTTCGTAAATAATTGAATATCGAAGTGCAAGTAAAATGTATTACAAGTGCATGTAAAATGTATTATAGGTGCAAGTAAAAATTTACACTGAGCATCAATACTTAGTTGCACCTATAGTTCTAAGTAGTTGCACTTATAGTTCTAAGTAGTTGCACACATAGTTATAAGTAGTTGCACCTAGGTGTATGAATGTTTGCGAGTGGTTTTCAGGGGTATTACTACCCGCTAAACTCAGACCAATGAATGTTAACTAGGCAAAATTACATGCACTTATAGGTGAAAATAGGTGCACCTATAGTTATAAGTTGCACCTATATTTATAAATAGTTGCACATATAGTTATAAGCACACCCAGGTGCATGAATGTTTGCGGAAAGTGAATGCTAACAAGGCAAAATTACATGCACTTATAGGTGAAAGTAGGTGCACTTGTAAGTGATTTTACTTGCACTTCGATGTTCAATTATTTATGAAAATGCCACCGCGTTTTTTTTAAGTTATTAGATATGGACACGTGTAGCGCGCGGATTCGTTCGCATATTCCTTCCTGGGCACTTATTCGCACCTGAGTGCATCCCTCTATATATATATATATATATATATATATATATATATATATATATATATATATATATATATATGTATATATATATATATATATATATATATATATATATATACATATATATATATATATATATATATATATACATATATATATATATATATATATATATATATATAATACTCTTATACTAGTATTTTTTATGCGCGATGCGCAAAAAATAGGTGCCCAATATTAATACGTTATATTAAAATTTTAAATTTATTTATATTTTAGATATTTAAATTATTCTAAATAATAATAATATTAATGTAAATCATTTTTATAAATTTGATATTTATATTTATGTAATAATTAACATATAACTCAAATATTTAATGTGTATATATTATTATTAATGAAGAAGATAAGAAAAATATATAGTGGATGCATGTGCAGGGTAACAATAGTGGAAAAGATAACGGAAGTTATAACGGTAGGGGTATGTTTGTCCAAAATATTTTAATGTACAACCTTTATAGCATAATGTACAAAAAAAAACTTAACGGAAAAAACGGACATAAATCAGGGGTATAACTTCCATTCACACTTATTATGTTTTTAGATATATATATATATATATATATATATATATATATATATATATATATATATATATATAATACTCTTATACTAGTATTTTTTATGCGCGATGCGCAAAAAATAAGTGCCCAATATTAATACGTTATATTAAAATTTTAAATTTATTTAGATTTTAGATATTTAAATTATTCTAATAATAATAATATTAATGTAAATCATTTTTATAAATTTGATATTTATATTTATGTAATAATTAACATATAACTCAAATATTTAATGTGTATATATTATTATTAATGAAGAAGATAAGAAAAATATATAGTGGATGCATGTGCAGGGTAACAATAGTGGAAAAGATAACGGAAGTTATAACGGTAGGGGTATGTTTGTCCAAAATATTTTAATGTACAACCTTTATAGCATAATGTACAAAAAAAACTTAACGGAAAAAACGGACAAAAATCAGGGGTATAACTTCCATTCACACTTATTATGTTTTTAGATATATATATATATATATATATATATATATATATATATATATATATATATATATATATATATATATATATATATATATATATATATATATATATATATATATATATATATATATAATACTCTTATACTAGTATTTTTTATGCACGATGCGCAAAAAATAAGTGCCCAATATTAATACGTTATATTAAAATTTTAAATTTATTTAGATTTTAGATATTTAAATTATTCTAAATAATAATAATATTAATGTAAATCATTTTTATAAATTTGATATTTATATTTATGTAATAATTAACATATAACTCAAATATTTAATGTGTATATATTATTATTAATGAAGAAGATAAGAAAATATATAGTGGATGCATGTGCAGGGTAACAATAGTGGAAAAGATAACGGAAGTTATAACGGTAGGGGTATGTTTGTCCAAAATATTTTAATGTACAACCTTTATAGCATAATGTACAAAAAAAACTTAACGGAAAAAACGGACATAAATCAGGGGTATAACTTCCATTCACACTTATTATGTTTTTAGATATATATATATATATATATATATATATATATATATATATATATATATATATATATATATATATATATATATATATATATATATATATATATATATAATTCTCTTATACTAGTATTTTTTATGCGCGATGCGCAAAAAATAAGTGCCCAATATTAATACGTTATATTAAAATTTTAAATTTATTTAGATTTTAGATATTTAAATTATTCTAAATAATAATAATATTAATGTAAATCATTTTTATAAATTTGATATTTATATTTATGTAATAATTAACATATAACTCAAATATTTAATGTGTATATATTATTATTAATGAAGAAGATAAGAGAAATATATAGTGGATGCATGTGCAGGGTAACAATAGTGGAAAAGATAACGGAAGTTATAACGGTAGGGGTATGTTTGTCCAAAATATTTTAATGTACAACCTTTATAGCATAATGTACAAAAAAAACTTAACGGAAAAAACGGACATAAATCAGGGGTATAACTTCCATTCACACTTATTATGTTTTTAGATATATATATATATATATATATATATATATATATATATATATATATATATATATATATATATATATATATATATATATATATATATATATAATACTCTTGTGATTCTTGAAAGTGAGAGTGTATTATTGTTTTCATGTCTAGTACTAGCTTCTCTATGTTGTTCCATTATTGATTCATAAGTTAGCGTTAAGTTGTCATGCCACTTGATTCCAATGTTATGCATGATATGATGTTGCACCTTCTTGCTATTATTTTGGTTATTCACAAGATCGCATGTCACTTTGCCTATTCCTTGATCCATTAAATCAAACTTGATTGATTCATATCCCGTTAGTGTGTAGTAAGTATGTATACTTAAGTATGAATTGCATAAGTGCTTGTATATGAATTACACTTGCATGTGAGCTTAATGCCTATAGATAACTATTATTATTATTATTGTATAAGTATACCTATACACATGTGGTCCAATTTGTGTTATATCCATGATATTGATTGACTCGACGTGCCAATGTGTAAAATTATCTATTTTCAAAATCTATATCTATATCTATTTTACAAGATGGAGTGGTTTATACTTTGCATTCGTGCTAACGGGTTATTTTCGTATACTTTTTACTTAACCCCTTTCAAGTTTGACGATGACTGCTAAGCGCGAATAGAAAGAGCTAGTGTAGTATAGAGAGTTTTGGGTACTAGTTCCTAGATGTTTGTCAAACTCATAGACTTATCTTGATGTTAAACTCTAGTGGCTTAGTTACTTCGTATCATGTTTTGTAGTGCGTGACACTTTTTTGTTATGAGCTTGGACTCAGATTTACATTGGGTTATGTGGGCCCCTTTTTTGGAATAATATTTATGTTTGATAATTAGCCTTTCTGTGTAGTTGCTTTGAGGAGGGTGACTACGAAGTAGCATCTCCTTTGGTTGATTACTTGGGTTATTTAGTACTTTACCTATTGCGGGGTTGGCTCACGGGCACCAACCACCCGTGAGTCACACCCGCAAGGCCAATCTGAAAGCAGAAACAGTATAGACACGATGCAATACAGTAGGTTTCCTCCAACAATTCAACAGTGAAGAGATCAGACAAACAATAACCAAAACCAACAAGAATACTAAAAAACAAGGCTAGATCACTATCAATATCAACAAGGAATTCAAGAACAAGAGATATGATACAATAACAACACAAGAACACTTCCAAATCAAGACCTAACTCAAGAATATCAACAAGAACATAGTCAAGAGATTCAAGAACATCAAGAACATTTATATAAGTTGGAAATATATTTTGATGAACATGGAGTTTACCTTTTAAGCTAG